GAGATGTACAGAGGGACTAATAAGACAGAGCGCTTCCACACCTTAAGGACTGGTGATCTCCACTCTCTGTATCATTCCGCGCTGGCATGTACAGATGCCAGCACTCACAAGCTGAATACATAAAATGTAAATATGATAATTCACATACATAACATGGTGCATAATAAATGGAAATATTACATAGGATTAATACATGTTCTGTAATACTTTACTGTACATAATTAATAGAGTAATATAAGAATACACAGCTTAAGGTACTACTTCGTGTCCATATTATACATCCCCTGCCTGGTCTTCTTCCCTAAATGCCACACAACGTAAACACCTAGAAAAATTGCAAAAGAGGGCATGCAAGATTATTCTCTCCCCTTCCTACTCCACATACCAAGAAGCGCTCAACACACTGACCCTCTCGGCTCTCTCTGACCATCACCATGACCTCATCTGCAAATTTGGTGAGAAGCTTCTGCACCATCCTCGTCACCCGTGATCCCTCCCTCGTCCGCGAATTGCTGTTCGACACCACAACCTATATGAGCATGTACTGATCGCTATAAGAACAGCCCAGTCCCAGCCATTGTAAAAATTATCAACAACTCGTAATCAACCAGTGTATTCACTCCCAGTCAAACTTATCTTTTTGCACTGTCTCTATGTTGAAATGCCCTGTAGTATGACCTTCTCCCCACCTAGTTATTATATATCATATTTGTATCAATTAGGTTACTTGTATACTATTTGCCAATCAAGTGACTCATTCCCCAATTATTTAACTGTATATTTTCAGCCTTCCGGCTGCTATGCTCTTTCAATAAACCGCTAATTATTATTTTTATTATTATTACACACACACACATTACTACTGCTACTTTGCTGTCAATCGGAATCGAGTATGACGATCATCCAGCTATAATTCAAAGATATGGGTTATTAAGGGTGTCACTTTCGTTGGTGAACTCTGAGGTGACTCGAGAGGCCGATACGAGACCGGCAGGGCCGTCCACAGATGTTGCATATGTGGAGGGCTACATCTAGTGCGGGAAGGGCAGCGGCAGCGTCCTTTTGGCGCTGGCACTTGTCTGCTTTGGTATGCAGTCGGGCTAACTCGAAAGTATTGACACCTCCTCCAAGCGTTATGATATGGAGTGATCGTATCCCAGGTGAGGGATTCGATTTGGCATTTTACCAGGTTTGTCTTAAGACTATTCTTATATATTTTCTGTTGCCCGCCAGTGTTACGTTTACCATTCATTAGGTGACTGTAAAGTAGCTGTTTTGGTAGCCTACTGACGTCCATGCGGGTAACATGGCCAGTCCAACGTAGTTGCTCATGGCTGCTCCTACAGTTGGTGTCGGGGAGAATACTGGCATTTGTTCTCTTGTCTTCCCATTGAACTGTGTGGATGGAATATAGACTACGTTAGTGAAAGGTTTCAAGTGCCTTGAGGTGCCTCCTGTATGTGACCCATGTCTCACTGCCATACAGAAGGGTTGGAAGGACCCCTCCTGGATATATGGGCAACTTTGTAGATATTTTTAGCTCCCTACAGCTGAAGACAGGGGATACGGAGTCTGCCAAAGGTTTGAGATGCACATCTCATCTGATGTTGAATCTCTTCATCGATGTCCGTGGTGGTGGACGGGTGGGAGACGACATACTAAAAGTGGGTAACATTAGAGAGGGTAGTACCGTTAAGATGGATGGATGGTAGAGGTGTGGTTGAACCAGGGGCAGGCTGAAAGAGATTTTGAGTCCTACGCACATTCACCTCAAGGCCGAAGTTTGCAGACGCATCTGTGTAGATGTTCACGATCTCCTGTAGGTCGCGTTCGATGTCAGCAATGAGAGTGAGGTCGTCTGCATACTGAACTTCAGTGATGGAGGCGGCCGACACCTTGGTTCTTCCCTAGAGTCGGCTTACGTTGAAAAGTCCACAAGTAAGGAAGGCAACCAAGAAAATGGAAAAGAAAATTTCTAGAACACATCCTTATTTTACCCCCGTTTGGACGGGGAAGAATTCAGACTGGGTGCCATTGTGCAGGACACTGCCGTTCATGCCATCGTGGAGTTGTCACTCAATGGCGATGAATTTTGGTGGGGAGTCAAAATGGCTGAGGGTCCGCTAGAGGGCTTCTTTGTTGACCAAGGCGAAGGGCTTGGTAAGGTCGATGGAGGCCATAAACAAGTCACAACGCAGTTCTCTGCACCTTTACTGTGTCTGGTGGGCAGCAAATATCATTTCAATGGTGCCAAATGATTGTCTAAAGCCACATTAAGATTCTGGGAGGATGTTTTCCGCCTCAGGAAGAAGTCTGTTTAGGAGGACTCGGGCAATAATATTGCCAGCTATGGACAGTAGCGAGATACCGAGGTAGTTGCCACAGTTCTTATGAATATTGATGATGGAGGTGTCTTTAAAATCTTGGGAAATTTCCTCCTTCTCCCATATATTCTCCAGGAGAGAGTGGAGGCGGCTGGTAAGAAGTCCTCTTGCTTTAAACATCTCGGTTGGGAATCCATCAGGCCCTGTGGACTTGTTACTTTTCATTTGTTTGATGGCAGTAGCTACCTCATCACGGGATGGAGGATAGCCAAGATGAGTCTGCTCTGGGTGCTAAGGGACCTGCTGGTTAGTCAGGACATTCACATCGGTGTTTCGGTTGAGCAGGGAATGGTAGTGTTCTTTCCAGCGTTGACGGATGATTTTTTCGTCTTTAATTAGTGAGTTACCCTCGGATGAGCTGGGGCAGGAGGAATTGGGCCACAGATTGTTTTAATGGAATTTAAAAAATCACACATCTTTTGTTAATCCACCTTTCTTTTGCGTTGCACACGGTATATTTTTCCACCAATTTTCCTTGAGATTGCGAAGTTTGCACTGGGCTATCGCTTTCTTCTGGAAGAAGGTATCAGCTTTGGTCCGAGATTGGGGGTTGTTTACCATTGACGAGTGCGTCGATTTCCTGCTTATTTTCTTTTAACCAATCCTGGTGTTTTCTTTTGATCTGATCGTAGGTCTTGCTGCAGTATTTTGTGATGACAGCATTGAGCATACTTCATTCAGCACTTGGATTTAGGTTATTTGTTGTTGGGTTGTTAATCAGCCCATCGTCGAGCTGCTGTCTGAAAGCATATTCTATCGCTTGATATTCCAGTCGCTTGGTGTTAAAATCTCTTCTGAAGGCTTGTTTTCTTTGCTGTTTTTCGGCGACGTGAAGGGAGAGTTTGGCTCTGATAAGCAGATGATCTGAGTTATCTGAGCCATGCATGACTTGGGTGATGAGGACATCTCGGCGATCTCTTTCTCTGACAATCGCGTAGTCAATGAGATGCCAATGTTTGGATCTTGGGCGTTGCCAAGAACCCTTAAACTTGTCGACCTGCCTAAACAAGGTGTTGGTGATAGTGAGGCTGTGTTCAGTATACTTGCTGAGGAGGAGTAGACCGTTGAGATTACACTTGCCCACTCCCTTTCTCCCTATGGATCATTGTCATAAATCAGCATCTCTGCCAACTCTGGCATTATAATCACCATGGAGCACAACATTTTCTTCTCTGAGGATAGAGGTTAGCACTCTGTCAAGGGCGGTGTAAAAGGCCCGCTTGCTGTCATCCTCCACATCCAGTGTTGGGACGTATGCGCGTGAGTAATTCAGAGGGACTCTGAGCGTCATGAGGGGCTCGTTGATCCCAACAGGCATTTCAGTTAGCCTATGTGAGATGGTTTGGCGAATGACAAAGCCAACTCCACAAATGTGGTTTCTCTGCAGCAGGCTTATCCTTCCAGACGGAGGAATAGCCGGACCCTGTTTTGTGAGTCGACCCTCGCCTGGGAGCCGGGACTCACAAATGGTTGCCACAAGGGTGATTCTTATTTCAGGATGCTCATTTGTGACAGTATCTAGAAGCGTCCTGACATTCCATGCAGCGACCATAACAAGTTGTATAATTTGTTTTTATTTTAATCTATGGTTATGTTATTGACTTCATTAGGGTAACTTTACTGGGTGCAGTTGCCAAGTCATGTTTTTTTTTTTTTTTTTTTTTTTTTAGGCAGGCTATGCTTGGGCACCTTTTCTAGCTCCCTCCCCATGTTGGGTGAGCAGAGGGGCTCATGGAATGGGCTGCTTACTCGCACAGACAGAACCGGATTGCACTGCTGCTTATATCCCAGTAAATAAACGACCATCTTATCTATGCCGCCCATGTACGGAGATGTGACCAGAGACTCCCAGCAGTCACCTCTGGCTGTCCGCGTTGCCACTCCTCTGTCGCCATAAGACTTTTGGGGCTCAGGAATTCTGATGATAATAGAAAGTATGATGAGCTGGATGATGGCTGTACGTGAGCTAATTTTTGTGATGAGGCAGGAGCACAGGCTTCAAACATACACCTTGGCTCTCTCTTTTCCTGCTCCAGTGTTGCAGGTAGCTGCAACAGCTGGAGAAAGGGAGAGCTGCAATGGACTGCCGATAGCACAGTTTGCTGGGTTTCGTCTTCGTCGCCCGTCCATCTTGCATTGCCTTCATCTGCCGGTGTAGTCGTTGGGTTCCAGTGTTGGTCACCTCTTCCACCTATTCTGTCGTTGGCGTCTTGCTGGAGCTCTGTAAACATGTCTGCCTGATGCGGAGTTCCACCACAGAATTTTCGCTCGGGGTTGGTAGGCGACAGGGCGTGTCCATATGCCAGTGGGCCTTTGCGCCGTCCCTCTGGGGCCACTGCTGCTCCGAGATCCCCTACTGGTTTAGCCTTGGCCCACGAGGCACCTAGTTACCGTGTGTTGCCACGAGGAGGCACAGCAGGAGTCTTGATGGTGAAGAGGCTGTGTACTGGCAGGGGAAGACTTACGCAAGGGTGTTTCCCTGTTCTCCACCAGGGCTTGCCAGCGGTGGTGGCTGAAAGCGAGAGAAGAAGGCAAGCAATGCCTGCACCTTAACACTAATATAATGCTGCCACCCCGTGGAGAAAGCACACACACACAATATCCTTCTTACCTGTGGATGACAACGTTGAGGTGTAAGATGTGAGAGAGGCGTAACACGTCCTCCACCACACCATCTGTCACCACCAACACCAGCTGGCTTTTCACAGCTGGTTGCTTCCCCACACTCTCCAACAATCTGTAATTAAGATCTAAACTTGCTTCTATTTCTCTCATCATCATCATCGTCTTTATTACAAAACACACACACACACACACATACTGTAGATAAAAAGACATATATAAAAACAGATACATAGACATATACAAAGATTTACATATACATGTATATATAATCAATAAACTCGTCAATAACCCTCGCTGATATCAGGACCAGAGGTTGTTTAGTATGTGGCAACATGCCGTGTTTCCACTCCTCCCTGGAAACTGTAGTATTTAACAACCTTCACCACGGGTACTCTACATTTAATATTTTATTTTACTAAAGACTGACGCTGTTATTTAGCACAGAGACGACCCCATACACAAGGGGTTAAAGAGACAGAAGCACACCCTTCGTATAGACAGTCTTTCACTGGTCACAGAGACAAGCACATCTCACGGGAATTCATAACCATGCTTCCAGTAAAGATCAATACTGGTCTTCGGTGAGAACACACAGTTTCTCACCCTGGGAGCACATAACCATTGTTTCCCATAAATAACTATTTACCTGTAAATATGATATAGTAAAGAGTTACCACAAATAAAATACAAACACTAAACTATGTGGTTAAAGAAAATCAATGCCGCTTAAAAAGTGTATACAAGTAAATAACATCGACTGAAATAAGATACATAAACAGATAGACGGATGCATAGATATATAGACAGATACACAGACTGATAGAAACATGAATGTATAGACCTATACATATATACATAAATAAAGATGTACATAAACAGATAAGAACATAAGAACATAAGAATGGAGGAAACTGCAGCGGGCCTATTGACCCATGCTGGGCAGTCCCGTTTATACCCAACCCCTATTGCTCATATAAGCATCCAACCTATGTTTGAAGCTATCCAGCGTATTAGAGTTAATGATGATATTTGGTAACTTGTTCCATTCATCCACTACTCTGTTTCCAAACCAGTGTTTACCTATTTCACGCCGTAAAACAGGACCAGGGAAGGGTAGGTTTAAATGTATACTATACAAACAGTAGGAGCGTTAGAAATAAAATAGACTTGCTGAGAGCGGTTGTATGTACCGAGAATGTAGACGTCATAGCAATCACCGAAACTTGGATGAATCTGGCGAGAAAAATTTTGTTATCAGAGTACCACATAGAAGGGTAAAACCTTTTTCACAAGGACAGGGAAGGTAGGAAGGGGGGAGGGGTCGCACTCTTCGTCAAGGATACATTAAAATGTTGTATTAATAATTCAATAAAGGGTGAAATAGGAACCGAGTCTGTATGGGTAGAAATCACGGAAGGAAGAGAAAAACTAATTATGGGAGTGATTTACAGGCCCCCCAAGTCTTGGGAAAGAAGCAGCTCAACCTATATGGCAGGAAATGAGTAGGGCAGCAAAATATAACAACCTGTGCATTATGGGGGATTTCAACTTCAGAAATATTGACTGGGACAACATTGTAAGTGACTATGAATCTGAAGACTTCCTAGACGCAGTACAGGACAATTTTTTGAAACAACTAATTACAGAACCGACTAGAGGTGACAATATATTAGACCTAGTATTAACAAATAAAGAAAATATTATCAGAGATATCACAGTAGGGGAAGAACTAGGTAACTGTGATCACAGAGAAATCAGGTTCACCCTAAATTGGGAAACAAAAAACAATGACAATATGGTCAGAGTCCCAAACTTTCGGCTGGCGGATTATCAGGGGTTAAGAAGGTACCTAGGTGAGGTCACCTGGGAACAGTCATGTCAGTCCCCAGTAGGAAGGGGTGAGGTCATAGATGACACAACAAATGATCATGACTATAATATATTCACCAGTATACTACATAAAGCACAAGAACAAAATAGACCATACAGAAAAATTAGGTCAAATAAGAATGAGCCAAGGTGGATGACAAGAAAACTTAAACATGACATAGGAATAAAGAAAGGAATTTATAAGAAATTAAAGGGAGGGGAGGAGCAGCTCAGAAATAGGTATAATGAACTATCTATGAATGTTAAGAAAAATGTAAGGAAAGCAAAGAGAGAGACTATGACATCAAAATAGCAAGTGAATCCAAGGCGAATCCCAAGGGATTTTCCAGGTATATAAAACAAAAGTCAAGGACAAAGTTGGGCCTTTAAAGTCAGGGAGGGGAGAAGTGATACATGGCAGTGAAGAAATAAGCAAAGCATTGAACAACTACTTCTTATCAGTTTTCACAGAAGAAATTTGCGAGGAAATTCCAGAGATGGAACTGATATTTAAGGGAAAGGAAGAAGAGAAATTAAAGAATATCACTATCAGAAAAGAGGATGTTCTTAAGAGGATAAATAAAATAAAGAAGACAAAATCCCCAGGGCCAGACGAAATTTTCCCTCGAGTCTTGAAAGAGTGTAGGGAACAGATTAGCGGACCCCTTGTAAATTTATTTACAAAATCATTAGACACGGGAGTTGTGCCAGACTTCTGGAAACAGGCAAATGTAGTACCCATATTCAAAAAGGGAGACAGAGCATCAGCGTCAAATTACCGGCCAATCAGTTTGACGTCAGTAGTGGGGAAATTTCTTGAATCAATTATAGCAGATAGCATCAGATCGCATCTAGAGAAAAGAAAATTAATCTACGACTCTCAACATGGGTTTACAAAGGGAAAATCTTGTCTAACAAAACTAGTGACGTTTTATAGGAAAGTCTTCGATGTAATAGGCCCCTGTCTCATCAACAGAATGTATTATATAAATGGGTCAATACATCTGATATTATATTCAGATTCACCACCCTGTAACTTTCCACTGTCTATGAGTAAGACATGAGATGGACACGTGAGCGGGCAACTTACCCAAGAGGGCGAGACCCATAGCTCAGCATTCCTGTAAGCACGCACTGCGATGCCCCTAAGCTTCAGTAGCTCACCTCAAGTCATATCGTAAGGACGTGACCTAACGTTTATCATACATAAACGCCGTCCCTTTCTCATTCACTCCTAGACAGTGAGACTTACGGTTGATATACACTCAGGAATTATATATACAACCTTTTATAATAAAACAAAGGAACTACCGTTTGGGTTTCGTTACTTAAAACCCAAATATAAATATGTGTGAACGGACTGGTTAATTGGACAAGCAGCCGATTCATATAGGTGGCAAGCGGTGTGTACGGATTCTTCAAACTGGTAGTCGTATCATCCGTCTGTGTCTTGTGAAAAACAAGAAACCACACAGCAGTGACGCGTTACATAATCCGAGTGTTTAAAACTATATCCCGTATTGAGACGATATGTAGTGAGCGCTCCTTATCTCTGTCACATACAAATACGTGCAGAATTCGTAATATACAAATATTACAGCCTGTTGGTACATATCCAGATTGAGCCGGTTGAGATAGACTCCACTCAGCATTCCCTAGACATTACAGTGTTGCAGTGTTGAACAACAGTTTCGTAACCTGGAATTCAATTGGTATTTCACTAGCAGCTGAGCAGTATTGTTGTGTCGTCAGCGCGAATTACGAATTCCGGTGTCATCATACAGATCTCCATATATACGTGGACTGTGAAAGAATTGGCACACGGCAGTTTTCGCCAGCGAACGACGAGTGTGATAACCAATCATCTGTTTTCTGATCGCCGGAGGAGGAACTCACCTAAATCAAGTGGACTCGTCTCTCACCAAAGCAGAAGCGTCATCTCGTTGCCAAGGAAACCAGCAGCAGCGCGCGCATCCTAGGGAGAGGCAACGCCCACACCCCACCCACCACTCCACTCAGAACTTTTGAAGGATTCACATTTTCTATACAGACGTACTACTCTGTATAAATAGGTATTTAAATTACATAGTTTTACACACATGAACACGTTCGAGAGATATCTTCACACCCATAGGTTCGTCGGATAGGATTATTTCAATGATAAAGTGTCGAATGTAAGATTAATGTATTGAAATCCTATAATTTACAGTAGTTTGTAAGTGTCTGTCTTCTTATTGATAGTTTAAAATTAACTACAATTAATATTCATTTGTCTTGTAAATGAGAGGCAAGTGATCTACTTACTGTTAAGTATTCATTGACCCAAGGGGGCTAATAGATAATTTCTAAGTTTCCCATGTCTAATGTAGATGAAATCGAACGCCTAGCGCAACTATTTGCTGATAACCAACTCATCAATGATCAAGCCCAGACTGACATAGATTTTGAGTATGGAACACAGTTAAATGAGTCGGTAGGAAGTAGTGAGAAAGTTATAGACGAATCATTTGACGACTTAAACCGTCGTACCCTACGGTCTGGTAATCACTATAGTACCTCACCTAAGTATACTAAAGCAGTTACCCCTGTTACAGGTGATAGTGTGTCTGTTGCTAAATCGGTAACAACCTTATTAACCCAGCCTTCTGTTAAGAGTAAGAATACTAACTCGCTTAATAACACTAAAATGGCATCTTCTAACCCTCACACCCTACTAACACACCTACAGCTGATACTGTTATTAATATCATGCAGCGCGGCGAATGTTCGAAATTTCACGGGACAAGACGATTATAGGGTCGCACATTTTATTCGTGCATGTGAAGATAGCATGGGCAATGGTCACATAACGACTGACGAAGATAAGAAAGCATATGTACGTTCCCATATAACGCAGGGTTCCTATGCAGGCAGTCGTTTAAATGCGTTTGGTTTACAAAGCCCTGACTATGAAAAGTTCAAGCGAACGCTAATTGGGCTTTTTGGGGGTAGGTCACAGCTGGGCCAACTGCAATGGATCTTCAGATGGTTGGATCGCTGTATTCCAGGTATACGAAACGAAACACCCGTTGACGCTGTTGACATTGCGGGCGAGGTTCGCCAGGACATGCAAGCGACCTTCCGGTCATCAGGCTGGTACAACTCACAGGGTGATATGCCGCCAGAAAACGTGGAAACGTTGATAGAACTAATAAGTTTTCTTCTTTCCGTCCGTGTTCCCTTATATAGCCGGGCACAGGAAGT